GTCTATCGTATCCTATCAATATTGTTAAAGAGGAAAACGGACGCGATTCACCAGCGGAATTCTCAGAGCCAGTCGATGGTGGCACTGAATTATTCTTAAAATTACGAATATCGTCTACAATGTCTGATGTTAAATTACCAGTATACTCAAAAGACACTGTAGGACAGTGCAAAAAGAAATTACAGGTGAGCTGAGCGAAATTTTAAATATTTATTTATGTCCAATTAATAATTTCCACTTTCGTTTGTTTTAGGCTGTGGAAAACATCGATGCCTGCTGCCAGCGTTGGTTCTACAGCGGCAAATTACTCGGCGATAAAGTGCCCATAGACGAGTGCAACATACAGAATGGTTATGTGGTGCAAGTGATCGTCAATACGGAGCATTATAATCACGATAACGGTACAATCATACCAGTTGCAAGCTAGCCTAGTGTCTATGTCTATACCAGCGCAAAACAAATAAAATTAGCAACGAGAACCGCAGCAGCAACAGCAACACGATTATTGGTAGTAGCAACAACAACAACAACGCCAACATCAGCAATAACCATAACAAAAGTGTGCATTGATGCTGTCACACTATTTGCATACGTCATAGTTAAAATATTTATCAACACTTTAATTATGAATGAGATAACAAAAAAAAAAAATCTCTCACAGCAGACAAACAGAGTGTTATGTAAATTTTAAATTATACACTTGAAGTGTGCATTAGTGCAAGCGCTCTGTTGTGTAGGTGCACATTGTTGTTGTACAGCGAAATAACGCTGATCGTATGATGGTTTGAAAGCATTCATTGTTTGTGTTTTTTTTTGGAGTAATTTCAACGTTTGCATCAAATTTTGCTACACTTTTTATGATACATAACAGCGTGAAGGCTTATTGTTGTTGCGAAAATCGTAGAAAAATCGTTTGGAAACTGTGCGTCTGCGGCTGTCCGCTGGCATGCATTTGTTGGTTGGTTAATTGTTGGTTGTTGTTGCTGACCGACTACTGTTGTTGCTGCCAAGCGCTTACAAGCAACCGACTGTGCAGCAGATATTACATATGTACATACACAAACGCATATATACACATATTAAATAAATGTATACACACATATACATACTAAATATTTAGAATGAATGGTTGATTGACTGATGAAAGTAATGAGAATATGCAAAATTTGTATTTAAAATGAAGAAAAAAGCGTTTCCTTGAAATAGAAGAAAAGATTTGAAATTTTTATGCGAAAAAAACTAAAGTTTTGTTATTTAATGTATCAAAATCTACTGAAATTAGTAATTCCTATTACAAGTTGTATGTACAGGATAACTAGTATAATATTTAGCATTTTCCACAACTAATTTTTTGTATTTTTTAGGTAGTAATTAAAGTGTGAAACACAAAAATGTAAATTGTTCTAAGTAAAAGCAGATGTGCTGAAAGAAAAAAGAAGTGAATTAAGAAACAACTGAAAAGGAAAAGAAAACTGAAATTACCAGGGATGAAAAACAATCACTTTTATTTGTAATTTATGTAATAGAAATTTATTTGAATATATAGGCGTATGTTACTCTTTTATTAATGAGTGAGGTCAATTAAAAGTTTGTGTTACTTGTTGATTAAACATTTTTTGATTTTGGTTTTAGGAAACTTACATTTCGCTCCACTGCTCAAGAGTAAAGATATTTCGTCTACTACTACTTTATCAAAATTTTTTCATTAGAGGTATTTGCTCGCAAAAAATAATTGTAATTCTTTAAATTTTATTGAATAATAATTTCGGTTACATATTTTTAATAACTTCGCGCTTGAGAAAGTAAAGCCTTACCATTTGACATTTATAATATTTCACATACCCAAATTAGTATTTGCTAATTAAAAGTTTGCCATTTCGCAATTTCGAATGTTTTATGGCCGAGCAACGCGCTAGAATTGTTAAATCATTCTACCAAAATGTTAAATTATAGGTGACTGCATTTTTGAGCATTTCCTCAGTGATAAGGCCCATTTCACTCTTGGCGGTTATGCTAATAAGCAAAATTACCAAACGATGAAGAAGCAATAGCCAATTCTCAGAGTTATGCCGGCATTATCAATGACAATTTTTGGCCTGGAATTGATAATCTCGAACGCTTTATCTCGATATGTGGCATAGAGGGTTGCCTATCAAGATTCTGTAATTCACCGCTTTTGGATTCCTATTTCTAGGGATATGTGAAAGACGGTTTTTTAGCGAACATTTCCACAACTCTGATGCGAATGAATAACGAGATACGTGAAGTTATGATGGAGGTATTGTCCGAATTATGAGAGAGGCATTGAAAAGACACCTCAGAAATATTAGGTCCTGCAAACTATACTATGTTTTTTCCATAACTTTACTTCCCAAGGAGAAAATGGATTACCCTGCGGAATTTACATACTCAGACTTAGTTGACTCTACTTTAACTGGGTAAATGATTTCGAGCGAAAAGAGAGTAAAAATAAAACCATCAACGTAGAAAAAATCTAATGTACTTAATAAAAAAAATTTAAATATTTAACAAATGGGAAAAAGCCGCAATTTTTTTAATAAAAGCAAAAAAGTGAAATTATATTTTATGCAAAATAAAGAAGTAAAATAAATCTCAATCCTTAATTTTGAGTAAAAACAATAAAAACGAAGTTTTCAAGAACAAAATACAAACAACAAAAAATAGCAGAGGCATTCCCTCAAGTATCCTCAAAAGCCACGAAATTTTTAATGACCTGTTAAACTTTCTGAAAAATACATTCGATTTTTGAGTATTTCCATTTTTTTCACCTAAGGGAATCCCTAAGTATTATTTTATACTCATCTGAAATATCCGAAATAACGGCAAAAAAGTTTGTAAAAAAAAAAATTAATATATTTAAAATAAGAAGCTATCGAAAAAATAAAAGTAAAATAAAAATTATATAAAATTACACAGAAAATTTATATTAAATTAAATATAATATAATAAAAAACTAATATTACATTATTAATTAATCATGTAAAATAAAATAAAATTAAAAAAAAGCAAAATAAAATTAAATAACTATGGAAAAAATAAAATTAAATAAAGTAATACAAAAACAAAATCAAAAATAAAAATAAATAAAAAACTAAAACAAAATAAAATTAAAATTTTTATTTTTTATTTTATTAAATTTTTAATTGTTAATATATTTTAGAATTAAAAAATTATAAATTGTAAACAAATTAACCACAAAATAACAAAAATCTCTTTTATGTTAAACTCATTATGATTGCCATCCCTGGAAAGTGAAAACTGAATATAATCAAATAAATAAAACAGTACATAAGCTTACAATAAAACAAATATATCTACAAACAAACAAAAAATTTATATATAGTACATATACGCGAAATAAAAGTATTTTTTGTAAACGTATGAAAGCCAGCAAACTCCGGTCAATGTGCAACGTATAATAAGCATAAATTTTTTGAAATAACCGTTGTAACTTGTGTAAGCAAATGCAAAACACAAGCACATACATATATCGTCGTTTAAAGTGCAAAACCGCGTATCAGCAAAATGCAAAACCGCGTATGTGAAGTTTTAGAAATTATTTTCTAGAGTGTAAAAACACTCATATCTCAAAAAGGTTCTCTTTTTTATAAAGAAATCGCATTTCTGCCTAGTATATTTCAGAACGAATGGATAAGGATTGAACCAAGAGCTTGTGTGAGCAAATCCAATTTTTGGCAGCAAATGTCAGTTACGCGGTTTTGCAGAATGACGTTACGCGGTTTTGTACTTTAAACGACGATATACATACATAAAGAAAACAAAAACGAATACATAAGTCCCATATAAGAAAGAGAAACAGCATGAAAATGAAAGAAAAATCAAACCACACAAAGAAATTATTAAAGTTCAAGCACAATTTTTTCTTTAGTTTTGTAAAAAAAGCGTATTCATTTTTGCTCAAATTCTAAAATCCCAATGTACCTTAATTCTTCATATTTTTAATGCATGTACTATGTATGTAGTTCAGCAAGTGGCACACTTTTGGCATACATATGTACATGCACACTTGCATACTATAAGCATGTAATTATACATACATAAATGTTTAAGTTAGTGCGTACTCTTTTATGCTGTCAGCTCAGTTAGCTTTCATTTTTTATGGNACACTTGCATACTATAAGCATGTAATTATACATACATAAATGTTTAAGTTAGTGCGTACTCTTTTATGCTATCAGCTCAGTTAGCTTTCATTTTTTATGGTTTTTTTTTTTTGTAGATTAGCTCCTTGTGGCCTAATGCTTTGTATTATATATATTTATATATATATAATATTTTATTTAATTGTAGATATACTTACGTACATATGTATGTTACACGAACGCCATTACGCTTTCATTTAGAATTAGTTTAATATTCAAAAATATTTGAAGCTGTTAAATTTGATAAATAAAAATGGAAAAAGAATACAATAAATTGAACTGCTGCGTCCACAAATTTCTGTGTATAACCTATTCTCACTAGAAGTTCCCAGTGGTAAAATGCAATGTATGGTAATCGAAAAAAAAATGAGTAAAACAACCCTTTTCACATTCGAAAATGCATTTTTTCCCAAGGCATTTTCCAAGAGGGGCATTCAATTTTTCAGTACCTAGTTCAAGGAATGTATGTGATTTAATATGCAATTTTTGGANGAAGTTCCCAGTGGTAAAATGCAATGTATGGTAATCGAAAAAAAAATGAGCAAAATAACCCTTTTCACATTCGAAAATGCATTTTTTCCCAAGGCATTTTCCAAGAGGGGCATTCAATTTTTCAGTACCTAGTATCAAGGAATGTATGTGATTCAATATGCAATTTTTGGGACTTTTTGGATACATTAGAATGCTGATTACATATTAATCAGTAATAGAATATAGAACTCATAAGAAATACATTACATTATTTATTACGCATGTAATGCATTACTACTTTTCCCATTGCGTTGTAAGCGGGGAAAACATAGAAAATCTACAACGATATTTTAGATCAATTAGCCTCAGTTCCTTTCTAATCAAAACTCCTAAATTTAGTTTTTAACGATGTCGTTAGTATCTACCGGTATATATAGGAAGGTATTTGTTTTTAAAGCAAATAAACAGCTGAGCACAAAAATATTACATGTTTGCCAGAAAAACTGCACTGACTTTTTGAACAACCCAATATGATAACGGACCTAGGAGGCAGTAGGCAATTAATAAGGTCCACTCGTGTTTGTCCCTATGGAGGTGATCTAGCTCCCTTACTATGGACACTGGTTGTTGATGGGCTGTTGGAAAGCTGAAAAGTAAACGGATTCAACGCTTTAGGTTTGGCAAGATGCCATTGATTGTAGAAACCCAATAACCCCAATAAAGTCCACCATCGCGACCTGCGCCAAAAGAAGGAAAGTCAATTAGACTAAACCCACTCTGGAAGGAAAGGATTTTGAGTTATCAAAAGAGGCGGAGTATCTAGAGATAACCGGGGCCACAACTAGAACTCATACTACATCGCAGATACCAACAAAGGCTTCATGGTAAGACATGGGGATATCCCCCTAACTGATGTTTTGGCCATTCAATATATTGATAAAACCGTATTACGTAAAGCCAAGCTCGAGGATGGCAATGCCGGGACCGGTGTTTTCGGGTCTAGGTTCCAAAAATTAGCATCAATCGGTACATATTCAACTACATATCTTTGAAATTGGAATCTATATATAAATACGCGACAAGAAAATTTTGCAATCCCTTTTTTGAAGGCACCGTTCCATCGATTTCAATGAAACATTCACCGATTTAAAGGATATGACTTCCTCTAACCCAGAAATGTTAATCCCGACACATAGTTAATTAAAATAGGATTCCATAGATAAAAACAATCATATATATAAAACAATACAACAGATTTATTCTTCCGTTTATTGCAACAAAAATAGGCAGTTTATAATACATATATTAGTAACTATACGTGAAGTATTCCTCTCTCAAATTAATAGTACAAAGTCCACATATAAGATAATTTAAGTAGGAACTCAATAATGCCAGAAAGTATGACAGATATTATTCAATCATGAGCTAAATTGTCATAGTAGGTGTGGTAATCTTCAGGAAGTAATCGTTTGAAATACTGGAGATCTCATACTTTACGCGAGCAATCCTACGCCTACTCTCGTATAAATTCGGAAGGTGAGAAAACGGCAAGGAAACAGCTACTGGGGATTTTCTTTGCGTTGGAGAATCTTAGTTTGAAATGTATGTCGCCACTTGGTGTATACCGTAGGGCTCGTATATCAGTTACTTTAGCAGCACCTTTCAACGTATTCTGCAGGAACATGGATATCTTTTTTCTTAAGTGCTCATTCAATAGTGGAATGGATACAATCAGCTTCCATTTGGGTATGGCCTACTTCAAGAAACTTTTGCTCAATAATGAAATTGTTATTTATAGCTGTGGATAACAAAGCATTAGCCA